CCTGTGAGTAACCCATTCTTCTGTTATGGTTTTAATATGCATTTGTAATTACCTTTACTAAATAGCACACCATAAAGCTTTGGTTATATATTAAATGTAAACTGAAAGGAATGTAAACATATGTATTGTTAATTATAAATAGATAAGTAATGACATAATAGATACAAAGAGTCTTATTCAGATGTATCAGTCATTTTACATTATCCACAAATTGTCGCATGGTAGAGTAGATTTTTGTCTGAATATGTGAATAACTTGACTTGCGTTTATCTTTTTACATATTTAATAAAAAAAAATGTTAAAATCTGTCTAGCTCTAGAGACTATTCAAAACTTTCTAAAATAATACTACTTCTGGTTTAAATACATATTTTTATTTCATTAGTGGCTGCATATGGGATTAGGAAGGAAAAAGGCAGCTACTTATTAAAAAATAAAAAGTTAATTTATTCTCTGTGTGTAGGGTAGTATCTGCTCTCCCAAGAGCTCAGCAACTGTATCACCTTCTACAAATCAAAAAAGGCATGTGTCTATGTGCATGTAAGCAGAACATTCATCTCTATGATGAATGCTTTCTAATTTCAGAGTACTAAATCTCATTTGATAGAGCAAAAGCAAAACTCCTGGAAGCCAGGAGGTGAAGAGAGTCCTGAGGCTCCCAATGGACTTTCCTTGCAATGGCCACGTATTCAGGGATTAATCTAACAGCTGCTTATGTTTTAGATTAATATACTAGGTGTTTGGAAGAAAAGGGGGAAACTTCATCGTAACTCTTGTTGCTCTGATCTTGTGCAGCATGAGCAATGTTGCTGCAGTAGTTGCTGCTAATTCTCTAGGGATTTGAGACATAGATGAGGACTTTCTGCCATGGTTTGATGCTACCTGGTTGTGTGCCACCATGGAATGGTCAGCCTAGGTTCTGCTGCTTCCAGGCATCCCCAGGACTGAGGCTGAGCCAATGCCCAGCCCCACTTAGGGAAGGTGTGGTAGAGTTGGGAGAATTAAGCCAGGACCAGAGGAGCCCATTTCCAACCTGGGTATGCAAACCTGGGACAGCAGCACTAGATCAGTTGCTTTGCATAAGACTAGGAGGGAGCCATGCCTTTGGGCCACTGCAAACGCTCAGCAGTGTAAAAAGGTGTCATATTTTCCAGTTCCAAGAGTTGAAAACTTTCTGCTGTAATATTGTGGGGAAAAAAAAAATAAATTGTTGTTAGACTGTTAGGTCATCTTCATCCCGTTATCTGGCTTTGCAAAATAAATCTGTGACCATACCACCCTCTGAACAAAGCATTTTTATTCCCATTCACTGAACCATTTCCCTCTAGGATGGCTAACAACTCAGTGTATACACTGTGCAATACGTGATCTGTTTTTATACTTGTCCTTATAGAGATTGTAGTGACAAGGTGCTTTAAAAAGGGAAGGTTATTTGCCAGGTCTTCGTACAGAATGTGAGAAAGCTGGCAGAAGCTTAATTTCCTTTAAAAGTGATACAGTATTTCTCTTTAGAAAGGTACAAGGGCAGGCAGTTTGTGGTAGTTCAAGTTTCATAATTTCTTTTAATGAAATATTGCAAAATACTCCATTACAGTGCACAAAATTGTGCCACTTCTGTGACCCTTATTTCCAGCAGTTCCATAAATAAGTGCAAGACAAAGGGAAAAGGAAAGCCTGTCCACAGAGTTCCTCCAGTACAACCACATTCAATCCAGAGGTATTTTTGTTTATTGTTTTCTCATTCTTTTCTTGTCAGGACTCTCTCCAGATACTTTTGATGGACGGGTTAAATATAAACTGTTGAAATAGGTGACACTTTTGTGGCAGTGTATCTGGTATTGGATGTAATATTTAACTTCAGCAGTGAGACTGCTGGGCATATGCCTATGTCAAACTCATTGTTCCCTTTCAAACACAGTCAGGACTGTCAATTTTAAGCATCCTTCATTAAAAAAAAACAACCCACAGCTATCAGCCTTCCTCTTAAGAAAGTCCTTGGGCCATTAGGGAGCATCTCTGTGGAGACTCCACTGTCCCTGGGCATCATGCAGGGCAGGGGCATGGCCACCCTTCCAGTGGGGAGGAAGGCTGGAAGATGCCTCTCACTGCTCCAGCTGCAGCTCTGCAGCTGGACCCGACCAGTGCTGGAGGGCTTGGGAGCCTCCCCTCTCTGCCCATCTGCACACCTCAGCAAAATCTCTAAAACAGCATTAACAAGATGGCCTGAGGCCTCTGCCCAGCTCAAGCCTTAAGCTGCTTGAACTGTGATTGTAGTAGTATGATGTTCCTTTAGGGGTGGGACCCTCAATGTGCTCGTTTGATTAAGTGGAACACGCATACTTGCAGACCATAGGACACTTCCCAATTCGCTGTGGTGTTTCTCCTTGGTGAAGAAAGGAAGCTACTGTGCAGGCTTGTCCCTGGTACCTACAGTAAGGGCTGCCAGGGGTAATTGGCCATACTGACATTGTGGTAGGTGAACTACTGTAGCAGGCTGTACGCACAGAAATTGAACCTGTTGCTGAAAATATGACTAGTCAGTGCTCAGCTGAAGATACCAGTGGGGTAAGGGCATGCCAACTGTGGGGGAAAAAAAGCACCAGGCTTCTGATACAGGCAGAAAAATGGTGTAAGAATTGAAAAAGGTGATCGTAAGGCTCAGCATCTCAGCTTGCCCGGCTCTGGCAAACGAGATAGCTAACTAGTTAATAAACATGCCAGTCAGTCCCATCCCTCTGTGCAAGCAATGTAATATAAAGCTTACCTTGGGGAAAGTGGACAGATCGTTTCATTAGTGCTTCAAGGCCACAAAGTCCCTCTGGCTAGGGAGCATATGAAAAGAGATGAAACTCAAATCCTTACTCCTTCCTCTAAGGCACACAGAAAACCTACATATATTACAGATTAAGTGAGCAGTTTACATCTGCATGCAAATATGTAATGTCTTAAAAAAAGCTTTTTTTGTCTTGATTATTTTCTGGGTTTTTTGACATTATCTAAAACCACAAGAATTTGTTTCAAGCACGCAGGAAAATAACTATTTGTTTAGCATTTCACACTCACAGATGAGGCTTGACTAACTAGTTTGGCAGTGAAACAGGAGAGTCTTCAAAGGTTTGCTGGCCAAATTTATTCTCAGCTGGTTACCTTCGTAGGGTATATTGCTTGTTGCTACCAAAATATCAACAATGCACTTGTTAATGCCTAGAAAATAAGTATAAAGGTCAGCTGCTGCTGTATGGAGGCTGCATTTCTGACAGATGCAGGTCAGCAGAGACTCAATGCCAGGGGGGAAAAAAATCATACATTTCAAAAACACTTTACCCAGAGTTTTCTGAAATAATTATCTTCCAACATCCATTTGAGGTGAGAAAAACACTGAATGCGCATAAGCCCTTCAAGAGTTTGTATGGAAGAAATGAGTTGAGAGAAAATAAATATGGACAATTCAGCAGGTGCAGACATCTGAGGGGGAAGGACATGGAAAGAGGGTTTGCATTGGTGACTAGGTTGGGCCAAACCAGTGCTGGTTATAAACCTTCAAGAATCTCATGTAACCTGGCATGGGTTTATCTAGGACTTTGGACA